AGTTATGGTTTTTGAAAATTTATAGCTATAGGTGGCTTCTATACTTATAATTGATCTTGATTGTAGGTATAAGTTTTCTTTCTATACCTAAATTAAGTTAGTTTCATAGGTAAAGTCATATTATTCCTACAATTCTTTAAAATACATAGATATATTTAAATCATATACATACAACTAAGTTAATCGTAGGTATAGATAGCTATACCTACAAAATTATGAGTGTAAGTAAAAAAAGAGTGTAGGTATATGGCAATTTGGACGTATTGCAGCCAAAGAGAGAACAGAACTTCTTGACTTCTTAAGAGCTAATAAGGATGTCTTTGCTTGGACAACAAATGAAATGCCAAGCATCCCACCTGAATTTTCAGTTTACAAACTCAATATAGATTCACTAGAAAGCTAGTAGTGCAAAAGCATTGCCTTTTTGGCCTTAAAAAGCAAGCAACAATAAACGAGGAGATATAGAAGCTACTGCAAGCAGACTTCATCAAGAAGGTGAACATTTTGATTCGGTATCTAATCCTATGCTCATCAAGAAGCCCAACGGAAAGTGGAGGATGTATATAGATTTCACAAACTTGAATGATGCATGTTCTAAAGACTCCCATCCACTTCCAAATGTGGAAAAATTAGTAAAACGAGCAACTGGACATGAGCAGATGAGCTTCTTGGATGCAAATTCAAGATATCATCAGGTTCAATTGTGGCTAGATGACTAAGAAAAAATAGCATTTTACACTAAGACGTAATTTATTGTTATGTAATGATGCCATTTAGATTGAAGAATGTAGGGGTGACATATTAAAAGTTTGTTCAGTTCATCAAACTCCAAATTAGCAGGAATATAAAGGTGTATGTCAATGATATGATTGTCACTAGTCTTTGAGCCAAGGACCACTTAGCCAACCTAGACGAGACTTTTCAAAATCTTTGCCAAGCACAGATGAAATTAAATCCTTTGAAATGCACCTTTGGTGTAGAATCAGGCAAATTTCTGGGTTATGTGGTCTCTAAAAAAGGAATTGAGATGAACCCAAATAAAGTTCAGGCTATTGAACAAATGTAGTCACCAAAAACAGTAAAAGATGTGCAGCGCTTAATGAGTTGCTTGGCAACTCTTTGCAGATTCATTGTCGAGTTGACAGAAAAATGCCTTCCATTCTTCAAAATTTTGAGAAATTCCAAAGATTTTCAATGGACGAAGGAGTGTCAGTAAGCCTTTGACAAGCTGAAGCACTATTTCGCTTCACCTTCTCTACTTTCTAAGCCGATTGAAGTAGAGAAACTGTTTATGTACTTAAGGGTTACAACTGATGCTGTAAGCTTTGTATTGTTGGGAAAGCAAGATGGTCAACAAAAAGCCCATCTATTACATGAGCAAAATGCTACAAGGTGGTGAAAGAAGATATCTTGTCACTAAAAAGGTTGTTTTTGCCTTCGTTTGTGTTGCTGGAAAGCTAATGGCATGCTTTCGGTCTCATCAGGTTGTTGGTTTTTTAGATCTACCATATGAGGAAAATATTACAAAAGCCCAAGCTCTTTGGTCACCTAATTGGTTGGGCCATGGAACTTAGTAAGTATGACATAAAGTTTGAGTCTTATACAACTATCAAAGGCCGGGCTTTGGCAAATTTAATTGTGGAATGTGCACCCGCCATTATAGAAGAAGCTAATTCTCCTCATCCATTATGAGCATTATATGTAGATAGGGCATGTTGAGGGTTCCGGAGCTGGGGCAGTGTTAATTAGCCCAAATGGCTTCAAAAGTGAGCATGCATTGAGGTTCAAAATCCAAGCAACAAACAATGCTATAGAGTATGAAGCCCTTATCTTCGATTTGAAGCTAGCAACTGAGCTCAAGGTACAAGCCATACAAGTCTTTAATGATTCTCAACTCGTTGTAAATCAAGTTAACACCAATTGCGACATTAGGTACTCCTAGTTAGCCCAATATTGCTTTGTTGTCCCTCACTTGAAAACAAAATTTGCTTCCTTTCAAATTAACAAGATCCCACGAGCACCAAACTTGCTTCCTCACCAGAAATATCACCTTTGTGAATAGCTTATGTTGAAGTTTCAAAATGCTAAGTTATATGCTCCCCCTCACTGATTGTGCAATATTAAGCATGGACCCATTAGCGATGAGTTGAACCACACCGTTGGTTGAATATTTAGAATCTAGCACATTACTTTATGGTGAATTTGAAGCTCGACTAGTCAAGCATAGAGCTACTCGTTTTACCCTTGTTGATGGACAATTATATAAACAAGCAACATCAATGCCCTTATTGTGATGCCTCATTCCTTATGAAACTAAATACACAATCAGAGAAATTCATAAAAGACTTTGTAGCACCCTGTCAATAGAAAAACATTAACCTAGAAACTCGAGGCATGGATATTACTAGCCCTAAATGGTTGAGGATGCCTGGTACTATGTCAAAAAATGCTCGACCTACCAATTTAATGCCTATGACATCCACATGCTAGGTAACCCAACTCGTTCTAGTTGAAACTCATAAAGATAATTATATCCCTACATCAAGTGAAGATTTCTCTCCTTGATTATAGGAGAAATGCTGTCTTCCTTCACCTCTGCTTGGCTGTTCACCCAGTGGGGAGTAGATCTACTAGGCCCTTTTGTCAAAAGCAAGAGAGGCTATACACATCTTATTGTTGCTAATGATTACTTCACTAAGTGGATAGGGACTAAGCAATTGTCCACAATGATCAAGAAAAAAATGGAACAATTCTTATTTAACTTGGTATTATACAGGTACAATGACACCATTTAATCATCTGTACCACACATACTTGCAAAACATTTAGCTCACTTATTCATGTGCAAGTATGGCATTCCTCGTTGCCTCATTGCTGACAATGGCCCTTAATTTCGGGCTGTAGCACTAAGAAGCTTCTATGAGACCTATAGATTCCAGCTCGTCCTTTGATGAAAGCATGAAAATGTATATTTAAAGTGTGCTTAACCATTGACATTTATGGAATTATGGGGTAAGAGTTGTATTTTTCTACAATTAATTTCATAAGTGTTCATTTTATTCATGTTGTGCAAATTTTTTATGATTAAAGGTTTGATAATTAAATGGAGAGATTAGAAGAAAAAGAGTTGAATGCAAAAAGCCAAGAGGATGAGGGTCCAAGGATCAAAACTGGAAATTTGAAGGCTAAAGAGGGGTTTTCTCCACTTTTAATAAACAAAGCAAAGTTCATAAACGTGACTGATAACAAGGTGTTGGAACCTGTTTTCATGTTCCAACCCCTAACTAGTGCAAAAGGATGGACAGTAGTAAGAGGGGTTCCACACCTTGTGACCAAGTTCTAACTCCTGTCCAACAAGATTGTGCAAGAAGAAAGAAAAAAGTAAAATTAATTCCTCATGTTGCTATTCTAGTTACCAAACACTACTATTTTATTTCCAATATAAATAAAAGCGCTTAAAACTAGGGTTAGCATCCAGAGAAGTCATTCCTAGGCACATATTTTCTTCTTTTCTAGTTCTAGAAAATTATGCAACTAAACTTTCAACAAGGCTAGGAGGATCTTAAGCCAAGCCATCGTGAACTAAAGTAGCTTCAATTCTTTCTTTGATGACCAGTTGTCCCTTATAAAGTCTCTATTGGTCTTATTCTTATTGTGTGCCTTGTGAGAGTGTTTGGATCCTCGAAGGAAGTTTGACTTGCTATTTTATTTTGATTCCTTCATAAATTTTATTGTTTAATTTTATTTTTGAGAGATTATTAATTATTTTCAAATTTGAAAACCCTAAAAATTATATTTATCAAATTTCATATAAGACTAGTCATACTCTTTTTATGTGTAATTTGTTAGAATATAATTGATTGATAAATTTGTTTTATGAGTTGATCCTTTACTGTAGTATTGTGGATTAGATATAATGTCACTCTCAAATAACCCATAAGATAAATCAGTTTGTTTTTCATTGAAATTAATTTCTCGCAAAATATAGACATTAGTTATTATCAATATCTTCAAAGTTAAATCTTCCAATTGTTTGTTTGGGATGTGAAACATACAATTGAGTCATAAATAGGAATCAAAATTTATAACAATTGAACAAATCAATTAAGTGAAACCTTGAAGTCTTGTTCATCATAATATTGTTTTCAATCCTCTATAATTATCATCTTTTATTTAAATGTTTTTATTCTTAATTTTAAAAATCATCTTTTAATTTAATTTCTCATTGTGACAACTCTTTTTGTTAGTTTAATATAGCTTTCTTGTGGATTCGACACCTAAACCTACATTACAATAACTAGTTAGCCAAAGGGTATTAATTTTGGGACAAAACACTATCCTTACCTCAATTTATACTCTATAGACAAACAACTAAGTAAAGTCAACCAATAAGATTGTCTTGTGCAGCCTTAAAATGTGTGTCTTTGCTGCTAACACAAATTGGGTTGACAAGTTAGACAAAGTCTCATGGTCGTGTAGAACTACGCCTAGCTCGGCTATTGAGGAAAGCCCCTTCTTGTTAGCTTATAGAACTAAAGTGTTCATTCCTATAGAGATAAGCTTGCCAAGTTGGAGAGCTACTCATTTCAATGAGGATACTAACAAGCAAGAACTTCACAAAAATTTAAATCTCGTTGAAGAAATAAGGGAATCTACTTGTTTAAAGTTTGTATCTTATCAAGGTCATGTGGCCAATTTTTACAATAAACAAGTTTGAAGTTGTCAATTTCAAGTAGGTGACCTAGTCCTATGGAAAGCAAGGCTTGCTAAAGCTTATTCACGCTTGGGCAAGCTCGTTCCTAATTGGAAAAGCCCTTACAAAGTTGTAGCTATTAAGCGACCTGGAACATATCGCCTAGAAGACTCACAAGGTCATCAATTACCATTCACGTGGAATGTAAACAATTTAAGGAAATACTACAGTTAGCTTTCATCATTTTTCTTGTCAACATTTACTGTAATCTTAATTCATTGTTGCAACAAACAAAATAAATGAGTAAAAAGCTATTTCATTTTCATTTCAAGCTAATAATTTGCAAATATACAATAATCAAGACGAGCAGAAATGAAATCAAAACAATATAATACAAAAATCAACAAATCAAAGCTAAAACACGACATGCCCTAATCTTGTTTGTCGATTAAATCTACTGGGGGGCACAAGTGTAGTGGTGACTATTGGTAAAGCAGACACTGGACTAACAAACTGAGCTGATGGAGAAGCTAGTTGAGGAGAAAAGGAGATCCTACCTTCAATGTTGGGCATTCCAGCAACCCAATCAGCAAAACTCTAGGAAGGGTCATGCTCATCACCTTCTTCCAACATAGTGGAAGGGAATAAAAGGGCCTCCTCATCTCCAAAGTCCATCGTACGTTGACAACAGTCTCAAATGGCAAGGGCAAGCTCTTTCCTTGCTCGTTGATCTCCTCTCCATCCATGAAGGCGAGCTTGTTAATTAGGAGGTTCGAATGAAGCTGTAGCAGCTTACCACTCACATCATCATAAATCTCAATGATGGTGTTCATGGTGCTAACAACAGCAGTGTCACAAAAGGCATCCAATCTCAGGAACCATTCAACCCTTTAAGCTCAAGCAATGTTGGTGGTTTTGCAAAACAACTTGGTTATATTGTCAAGCAAACCCTAGATGTGCACCACCGCGTGATCAACTTCAATCACTTTTACTCGCAAGTTGTCTAGCTCTTAGCGGACCTAATCCCTTTCCTCCTTCACCTTGGCAGCCTCTTCCACAGCAACATTAATTTGGAGCTCAACTTCATTTTTAACGGCCTTGGCCACAACTCTTTTCACCTCCTCTTTAAGCTTGGCTACTTGAGTGATGAGCTCATCCACTTTACTTTCTACAACTGAGGCTCAATTTGCCATCGCTAAGCTTTGTAAACGGCTTAGCTCTTGTTGTAACCTTTACTTCTTGAGGACAACCTCTTTCGCCTTGTTTGCTACCGTCCGTGTGTAGACTTGAATCGTTTGCTCTAGCTCGAACAAAGTCCCACTTGTTTAATGCTTGTCATAGAACCTATAATATTAGTTTTAGTTATAAAATAACACAAGCAAATAAAATTACCATGAGCATTCATTCACATCCATCAACTTTATCATTATAGCATTGTCACTAGACTGATGAATAAACTCCCTTGCCTTTCCATGGTCTACTAGAGGGACAAGATTGTGCATCCCCTACACCATTGTCGCATGACACTCTTTCCTAGTGTAACTAAATCCTTTTTGGTATGTAGTTGTGGAAGCAACCCATTGCACTTGAGATGAGCCAACTTGACTATTGCTTGCAAGAGTAGTAACTAGAACAACTAAATCAGTTGGTGTGGCTATTATCTCTACTCACTGTAGAGTTGACTTGGCTCGTCAACGATCTCTCCCTTTTCTCGGACCTACCCATGGGATTCACTAGGTTGTCTTTCAACTTGCCACTCTACTGTTTCTTTAGCAACAACATTGTTATTCCTTTCGTGCTGAGACGAGCTACGTGAAGACTAGTCGGCATGTGGCTCATCAAACCTAAACTGCCTGTGTGTGTTAAAACCCCCTCATTAAGCTTGGGTGTATTGTGCTCGTTCATGTTATTGTTCCAACTCACTTATCATTTCCTACACGAACGAAAACAATAAGACTCATATCAACATGGTTGGTCATCTCTAAAAAATGAATGCGTACTTAGGACATGGACATTTGCCACATCCACAAACCTAAAAGCCTCTACTTTAAATGAGGTAAACAAGGTTTCTAGATCTACTGTTTCTTCCTCATTAACAAACCACAAAATTCTCTTCTTAATCTCCATGTCCATGGACTTAACTATTGGATAATTCATATACAAGTTGGAAGAATGCCATTCACATATGCAAGCAGCTAGCTCATTATTCACTCTCTCTGACACAAAAATAAATCTCCTTGTCTAACTTGCCACTTTATTCTTAACATTGTGGAATATGATCATTTTGGTGCGCCTTGAGATGTAATATCACATCATAATTTTCTTTACTTGTTTGCATTAAAGCAAGGATCAAAAAACTGCTAACCTAGTAGGCAATTGCAACCTTACACACAACAGCATAAATCCTATTATAAAGTTCACTAAGTTGGGTGTAAGCTATGTTAGTGCCAACCAAGGTTATTGATATCGTACCGTACTAGCCGATACAGCTGGTATGTATTGGTTTTTACATTAAACTGAAACAGTACATGGTCCAATTTCGTTTTGGTCAAATTTCGCCTGTTTCGGTCAAGTTTCGGTGTACTGACCGGTATTTCGGCATATCGACCAGTACACAAAAATTGCCCGGCACAATTCAATTCAAATTTAAAAAGGGTAAATTCCATTTTTGGTCCTAAACTTTAATGTTTTACATAATTTTTATACTTTAACTTTTTTATGTACATTTTTAGTCCATTCTTCATATTTTGTTTAGTTCTTATATCAATTACTCCATTAAGTTTGTCTAAATACACACATTTTTAATCCCTTAATATAAAGTGGATGGACAAAAAATATGCATATATTAGAAGTTGAGGGACTAAAAATGATCGTTTTAAACTTGTTTTCAATTTATAGGAATACAATGGTTTTAAACATTAGTATCTTTTATTTTATTTTAAAATTTGATATTTAATTTATAAAAATATATATTTATAGCAATAAATCCAAACGGTACGTGAAGAATTCCAGTATCTGGTACGTACCATTCCAATAACAACACGGTACACATGCCGGTACGATATTGACAACTTTGGTGCCAACCCATAATCTGCCAACACGTAAAAAATCATCCCTAGCAGTGGAAATCATAAGCCGACCTCAAAATCATCTATATATATTGGGATCCACCCATTAGAAGTTACCGAACATGCTCGCTCCTTTGCAGATGCGGCTCGTAGTAATACAATGCTAGTAATCTGATACTACTTCACCACTTCATCTAATTTTTTCAAACTTTTGATGGTGGCTATTTCATTTGCCACTTCATAGTGAAGCATAACTTTAAATTTGAACCCCATCGCCAAATTTGTTAATGCTTCTCGAACATTCATGACCAAATTAGGGTAGGCGGGCACTAATTCCCATCCCTCTAGGGTAGGCATCCTCTCCTCTTCCCTTTCCGCATGAATGGCAACCTGCCCATCCTAACCCCCTTCCACATCTTCTTAGATAGGCTCAGTCCTATCTGTGGAAGAACTAAAGGAGTTAGAACTGGAAGAGTAAGCATCACTCAAAAAGCTTGTGCTACTCTCTGGTGTGAGAGGCGCATTCAACTCAAGCCTATCTTGTATCGTCGGCGGCACAACCATCGTAACAGGCATGACGAACATTACCCCCCTCTTCTTCTTCACCGTAGTTACCTTGGAGTTCCCATAATTCTCTAAAAAGATCCATGATTACCTATATGATCATAACTGAAATGGTTTCCCTGCTAAAAGACCTGTAACCTTTGCCAAAATGGCAAAGTAAGTAAAAGGACAAGAAAAAAAAGCAAAAATAGCGAAAAAAACAAGAATGAAGGAGAAGAACGCAAAAGGAAATGGTTGAGTTGCCAAGTACAATCCTTCTCATTCTGCTTTTCCTCACCAGATTACGTGTACCTTGAGTGTTGTACCCATGCCCCCATATAAATCAATAATAGCGCCACACGTCAACCGTTCATAATTTGCATGGAACATGAAATGGCCTTAGCTGTCATGTCCTTTAAAAGCTGAGCTAGCATTTATTGAGGGGGGTAAGAGGCCTAATGATTGATTAGATTTCATGAGTTACGGTTTTTGAATTTTAAAATTTCCTTTAGATGAGCTCACTCAATTTCGTCTAGAAATCCAAAACGTGCTCATCACCAAGTCCAGATATGATTCTTAGATTTTCAAACTTAGCCATTGGATGAGGTCGCTAAGCTTTAAACGAGCTTGTCATTTTGAATGAGCTCGCTAACTAGCCTCAAACATGAACTTGTTATTTCTTGAGATTTTAGAAGATGTAATTTTCAAATCGAAGTTTAGAGAGCGTTCACCTTATCTGAGGTCTTGAAGATTCTGAACAAGCTCATTAACCTTGATTCAACCCAAAGCTTCCTATCTTAAGATCATTAGATGTAGCTTGTTAAAGCCAATATTGGGCCATGATTTTAATTATGATACTTCAATAAACGAATACTAAGGGGAAAGAAATATTGGGGAATAGGCCCAACATTGGCTTTAGGCCCAAGAACTCACAAAGCCCAAAGGTATAAAAAGAGCAATCACAATATACCCACGTGGCTTTAGACAAATGAACTGATAAGTGAGTATTACGTGGGATAGATGTCATTAATGAAGGCTATAAATACCCCCATCTACCTTCATGCAAGGTAGTAGCTCGATTATACTTCTTTCTTTACAATAACTCTTCCTTAGAGCTTTTCTCTCTAAATTATAAAGAATTGTTAACTTGAGCATCAAAGTGTGAGCATCGAAATGTTTGCCTCGAAGAAACATCCTCGAGTATTTCAAGTATTGGGGTAGTTTGTGATCTCTATAGTACGAGTTCGTGAAGTCACCCAAATAGCATAGAATGAAAGAAAATAACAGAAAAGAAAAGGAAAAAAAAAAAAACCCAGCAAACTAGGGACATAATTAATAGTTAAAGAAAAAAGGGAGGAACCCCATCAAAAAGTCGACAACAGTGACTCTCATTAAGAGTGGAGCTTAGAGAGTGATTTTTCCTACAATACTATGCAGTTATTGAGGACATAATTGAAGGAGGAAAATTAAGAGAAATGATCGTCAAAGACTATTTTTTGTGCCAGTGTGTTGCATGGGTTTTTTTTAATTTTTTATATTAGAGTTTAGATTTTTTTATTATTTTTATTAACTCTTGAGTTTTATAATGATTTTTAATTAAAAAAATTCTAATTAAGTAATTAAAGTTGAGTTGAAAATTGTGTTCAGTAATTAGTAAGAGTATATTTTAAAAAAATTATATATAATCACATTAAAAAAAAGAATATTAAGAGAATTCAAAAAAAGGATCATGATTGGTGCACCCCCCACATAAGAACAAAAAAATGGTATGCACCTGGATCCTTTTTTTTTTTTTTTATGGGAGGTGTGCACACCCGGGTGTTGAACACTACTGGAAAACGCGGCATAAGCGACAATACTATATTCGACAGCCACATTGCTGTCGAAAATGTGTACATAATCGACAGAAA